TAATACTCATATATATATATATATATATATATATATATATATATATATATATATAACATTAAAAATATCCCTATTGTTTATATTTTAAAAGTGAAATACACTTTCTTACGCTTAAATTTATGATATAAATATTAATTATAAAGTGCTATATATAAAAATAAAAAATTATGTGGTGCGTATGTAAATGTTCTAAAATTAAAACGGCAATAAAGTCATTTGACTCCTGGTGATTGATTAGGTGCATATTTCCATGGTGGGGTCCAACAGGGTGAGAGTGACGTGGCTAACGGAGGATGACGCGCCTGCAACGGTGGATTACGGGTCGAAGCAAGGAAACTACGGCGAGTCGAGCACAGGCTCTTCTTCGTCTTATACATTTTCTGCACTTTACACGTCGGGTAATATCCACGAGGCGGTGATTGGACCGTTGGATCCGGATACGGTGTACTATTACACCTGCAGCGGTAATCCTACGCGGGAGTTCTCGTTTAAAACTCCTCCAGCTAGTCTCCCAATCACATTCGCCGTTGTCGGTAATCTCACATATTCTCGCTTTGTTAATTCGTTACATTGTGATTTTTTTTTTTTTATGAAATTCAAAATTTTCATTTATAAGTATAAGTATGTTAATGTGAAAATTTAGATGTTAAAATGTAAATATAGATAAGAATTGTGTGGTGTGTAATTAAATGCCCCCATAAACACCTTAAGGGGGTGTTTGCCTGTTTGGTTCCATATATTCTACCCTACTTATGCATGCAATTAAGTTCATTCCACGTTTTAAAATTCAAAATACTGATATTTTTGATATGATATGAAAGATTTATACAACATAAAAGTAGAAAAAAAGGCAAATTTTAAGTGTTAGATGTATAAATACATAAAATTTAGGTTCTATGTATGCAAATACCCCTAAAATCTATTAATTTTCCAACACATAAAACATCTAAAAATTATAGTTTGCAGGTGATCTAGGACAAACGGGTTGGACCAACTCAACGCTAAATCATATCTCTCAATCCAACTATGACATGCTCCTTCTTCCCGGCGATCTCTCTTACGCTGATCTTGACCAGCCACAATGGGACTCTTACGCCCGCCTCGTCGAGCCACTGGCCAGTAGCCGCCCATGGATGGTCACAGAAGGCAACCACGAGATCGAGACCATACCTCTCATCGAATCCACCCCCTTCAAACCTTACAACGCTCGATACCATATGCCACATGAAGAAAGCGCCTCACCTTCAAATCTTTTCTACTCATTTGACACAGCAGGTGGTGCCATACATGTCCTTATGCTCGGCTCATACACTGATTTTGACACCGGCTCGGATCAATTCCAATGGCTGCAGGCTGATTTAGCCAAGCTTGATAGATCCAAGACCTCATGGTTGTTTGCGTTGATCCATGCACCATGGTACAATTCTAATAAGGCACATCAGGGGGATGGCGAGGACATGAGGGAGGCCATTGAGGAGATTCTTTATGCTGCCCGCGTAGATGCAGTTTTTGCTGGTCACGTCCACGCCTATGAGCGCTTTGTATGTCTTGTTTCTATTTGCTAATATTTCACGTAAATATAAAATGAGGGTTTCTTATGTAATATGTTTACTTTGCATGATGCAGAATAGAGTGTATGACAATAATGAGGACCAGTGTGCGCCGGTGCACATCACGATTGGTGATGGAGGAAACAGGGAAGGGCTTGCGAGCAAATACATTAAGCCGCAACCAAGCATTTCTTTGTTCAGGGAGGCGAGCTTTGGACATGGGCAGCTATATGTTGTGAATAACACTCATTCGTTGTGGAGTTGGCACCGGAATGATGATGATGAGGCAGTGGTTGTTGATAGCGTGTGGATTACTAGTCTTCTTTCCAATCCTGCTTGTCAGAAAAAGATGTGAATGTTGACAAAAAAAAAAAATTGAAATAATGTTAGTTAATTTATATTTGTGTGCTTGTATGCAAATTCAATGATGTAAAGGAATTAAAGAGTTATTTTTTAATTGGGATAATTACATACAGACCTCCTTTGCACTACCAAATAAATGTATTTACACCTGTCAAAATCAAATTATTTAGAATTTGATAAAAAAATAAAAATATGGGTTGGGAATTTAGCATGAATTTTGATATTTGAGTGAGAATTTGAAAAATGGATGAAAGAGGATGGTTAATTTTCAAATAGCAAGTTTCGGGTGGTTTGTATGTAATTGTCCCTTTTTCAATAATAATGTATGACCTTATAACCTTATAAGCAAGGTAAGGAGGATGGAGGAATTAGAATTTTTGAATAATTTTATTGATTTTAAAATGTATCACTGAAAAATAAATAGATAGAATTCAATAGCAATAGTTATCTATATAAAATAAATATATATATATAATAATTTTTTTAAAAAATATTTTTCATAAATTAATTCTCAATAACCTTACGATGAGAGAACACTCATGAGAATCTATAATGTTACCAAGAGGAATCTCCAACCAATTAACATGCCGCCATGATAACTAATAGATCGTTGATGATATAAAATATGAGAGGGGTCTTAGAAAGAGGATTGAGAGTCAAAACCAAAGTTTTGAGAAAAAGATGCTCATAAGCCATATGTTAGGAGGAAGGGCTTTGAGAGGAGCTCAAGAAAAGAGCATTTCTAAAATTTATATAATCGCAAATCACATAATAATTAGAAAAAATTAGTCCTAGCCAATTGTCAATAATTTATCAATGACCTCAATATGGAAAAAAGTGTCATGCTTTCATATATATGCCACCAAAGTTTTTTTAGGATGCTATCATAAATATTTATCTTCTTTTTAAACAATATTCATTATCTATATAAAAGGCGACTACTAGAAGAAAATGGTTTTGATTGCTCATTTAAACCTATTTTTAATCTAAAAGATGGAGAAGTGGATAGAAAGAGGGGGAGTGAGACAGAGAGAGAAAGAGGTAGAGAGAGAGAGAGAGAGAGAGAGAGAGAGAGAGAGAGAGAGAGAGAGAGAGAGAGAGAGTATCTCATAGCTTTAAGAAATTCAAGAATCTTGTATTTTAATGAGAGAAGTGGTCAATGGAGTTAGAGAGTTATAGAGACGGGAGCATGGTTCAATGAAGCACTACATTCCTCCTTACTTCTTTGTTTATAAAACTTATTTATTTCTCAATATGAGAATAATGATTCAGATTAACAATCTCATTTCACTACATAGAGCTAGACATGTCCATTGAATTGCTTTTATTGTCTTATTGACACAAATACATCACAAGAAGAGGGAGACTTTAATGTCTAATATATTATTTTTTCTATTTTATAATGGTATCTCTTCCTCTCTTGTCGGCCACCGCTCGCCGCTTGCTGTTTGCTTGTTATATTTTTATTTATGACTCACATTTATTTTAATAACTTCTTAGATTTATTTTGATAACTCAAGTTATTAATTTTTATTTATTTTCATAACTCATAACTTATGTCATAACTTATGACAACTCATGACATTTATTTTGATAACTTAAGTTATTAATTTTCTCAACTCATAACTTATATCATAGCTTATAATAACTTATTATTTTTATTTTTGTAACTCATGATAACTTAAGTTATTAATTATCTTAACTCATAAATTATGTCATAACTTATTGTCATAACTTATGATAAATAACTTATGATATTAATTTTATAACTCATGTAACCTCCTAAATGAATAAGGGTTACTGACTTATGTTATAGATTTTAATAATAAAAAATCAATTAATTTATTAAATTATCATAAATCCTATTGGTTTGTAACTCACTTGATGGATGGTGGTTAAATATAGTATGAATTAGAAAATGAGTTCTCTCTCCTCCCAACACACCCCATACATTTCCCTCAATCATAAAATACAGAAAGTTTCAAGGGATTAGAGAGAGAAACTTCATCTCTTCAAGTAAAAAAATTTCTTCATCATGAATACATGTATGCGTTATTTTATTATAGATATGTAAAAATCATGAATTTAAAAGATCTTGGTTATTATATATTTTTTGAAATTTGTGGCATAAAGTTGAAACATGAATTTCTAACATGTGGTATCGGAGCCTTGATTACAAAATTTATTATTTTTCATATAATTTTATTTATGTCAATTGTAATAGATTTTCACTGTGAATTAGATCTTGAATTAGATCAATAAAATTAAAGTAAATTGATGTGATTGAAATTATTATTTATTTAATGTCTATGTTATGTTTAATTTGTTCGTCACCAAAGTAACCAAAAAAGTTTAATAGACGTTAAATTAAATAATTCAATTACTCACGAGTATATGATGTTTGTTATGAAATAATTTAATATTTCATTACAAAAAATTTAAATTCATTGATTATAAATTTTTTTTAGATCGCCCAAAGGTTGATCACTTGTTTTATAATCTTTGAATATAATTGTAGTCTATTTATATACTTAGTTAAGAGATGTTTATATATCCAAAGATAATAGACATGTCTAATTTGAGTATAAACAATTATTAATTATATTAAATTTAAGCATCAATTATGATTATTATTGTGTATTGTTATATCACCCAAAGAAGATTTCAATACATTATTATTATTATTATTATTTTAATCTGATTTTATATGAATATCTATGTAAGTATCTATGTAAGTTTAATGTTCGAAGCATTAATGTACGAGCATGTTTTATTTATTTGCAGTAACTATTCATGTTTCTCTTCATTCGCAGGCTACATCTATTCAAACTTTCAATGAGCTTAATTTCTCTGAATGACGTGAGCAAGTCCAGTTTCATCTTGGTGTTCTGGATCTTGATTTGTCACTCACGACTGAGAAACCCCCGCTCTTACTCATTCTAGCAGTGCCGAGCAAATATCTTTCTATAAAGCTTGGGAAAAATTAAACAGATTAAACTTAATGTTTATGTGAATGACTGTAGCAAATAACATAAATTGTACATTTTCTAACACTGAAAGTGCTAAGGAATTTATGAAATTTGTTGAGAATTATTCTCAGCTTGACTCTGCTGATAAGTCTCTTGCTGAGACATTATTGAGTCCATTAACCAACGTAAAATTTGATGGTTCTTGTACTATGTATGAGCATGTCGTTGAAATGATGAACATAACAACAAGACTTAAGATCATGGGAATGGAAGTGAATGAAAATTTTCTTGTGCAATTTATCATTAACTTCTTGCCTTCTGAGTATGGTCCCATTTCACATGAACTACAATACTATGAAAGATAAGTAGAATGAGAATGTGAATGAACTACAGCTCATTCAAGAGGAAACAAGGCTTAAGAAAGGAACAAATCACTCAATTAATCTCATGGGTCACCAAAGATGGGTCATCAAAGAAGAGCTTCATGGGTCACCAAAGAAGAGCTGTAAAGAAACCTAGAAAGAAGAATAGAAATGAAAAATAAGGACCACTAAAGATTAATGTGTCATCTGCTCCAATTCACAAAGAGGAACATAAAGGAATTAAGTGCCACGTTTGCAGAAAGCCTGGACACTATCAAATTGAGTCTCAAAAGCGCAAAAATTGGTTCGAAAAGAAAAATAAACCTTGTGTTTCTGTATGTTTCAAAATAAATTTGGCAGAAGTTTCTTATAATATCTGGTGGATTGATTATGGTTACCACTCATGTTTCTAATACGATGCAGGGATTCCTTACAACCCAAATCATAAACCCAAATGAAAAGTTTGTCTTCATGGGAAACCGGGTCAAAGCGCTAGTAGAAGCTATTAGAACATATCGATTGATTTTATATACTAGACATCATTTAGACTTTTTCAAGCACTTTATGTCTCTTCTATTTCTCGTAATTTGATTTAGTTATCTAAACTTGATTCTATTGGATACTCATTTAAATTTGAAAATAGTTGTTTCATTTTGTTTAAACACAATCATCTCGTATGTTCTGGTATTCTTTATGATGACATATATAAGTTTAAACTTGATAAGCTTTTCTCTGAGACTTTGATGAGTTTGCATCATAATATTGGTACTAAACATAGTTTTATGAATGAAAGTTCAATTTATTTGTGGCATAAACGTTTGGGTCATATAACCAAGAAAAGAATTGAAAGATTAGTAAAGAATGAAACCATTAATAAATTAGATTTTACTGACCTTGGCATCTGTATGAATTGTATTAAAGGAAAACACACAAACCACACCCTTAAGAAAGCCGTCACAAGAAGCACACAACTCATTGAAATTATACATACTAATATTTTTGGACCTTTTGATGTTCCATCTTTTGGTGGAGAGAAATATTTTATCACCATTATTGATGATTTTTCATTATTGATGATTTTTCATGATGATTTTTCACGTTATGGGTATGTCTACTTATTGCATCAAAAATCTCAAGCTATAAATGTCTTAAAGGTGTATATAATTGAGGTTAAGAGACAATTAGACAGAAAAGTGAAAATTATAATGTCTAATATAGGCGGTGAGTATTATGGAATTTACAATGAATCTGGATAATGTCCAAGTCCATTTGCTAAATTCCTTCAAACTAATGGTATATATGCTCAATACACTATGTCAGGAACATCACAACAAAATGGTGTTGCAAAAAGGTGAAAATCGTACTATAACGGAAATAATTAGGAGCATGATGAGTACTTCTTCTTTACACTCATCATTGTGGATGCATGCTTTAAAGACCGCTGCATATTTGTTAAACAGGATTCCTAATAAGGCAGTTCCAAAGACTCCTTTTGAACTACGGACATGAAGAAAACTTAATTTTAAGGCACCTACGTGTTTGCGGTTGCCCGGTGGAAATAAGGTTATATGATTCACATGAAAAGAAACTGTACTGAAGAACAACCAGTGGTTTCTTCATTGGTTATCCTTAAAAATCTAAATGATATAGATTTTATTGTCCTAACCACAGTACAAGAATTATTGAAACTGGAAATGCCAAGTTCATTGAAAATGGTGAAGTAAGTGGGAGTTTGGAACCACATAAAGTGAAGATCCAAGAAATTAAGGTTCAAGTTCCTTTACCCAAAATTTCTTCTCAAGTTGCTATTCCTACAGTTATTGAACAGTTTGACAACTTACAAGAATAACAAATATATGATCAAATACCTCACAATGAAACTGTCACTAATGAACATACATTAGATGAACCACAAAAAGTAGTACCTATAAAGTTTCAACGACAAAACGGTCTGCTATTTCCGATGATTATGTGGTTTATCTACATGAATCAAATTTGACTTAGGAGTGAATGAAGATCCAGTTTCATTTTCACAAGCCATAAAAAGTGCAAATTCTTCTAAATGGTTAGATGCAATGAAAGATGAGTTGAAATCGATGGATCACAACGAAGTCTAGGATATCGTCGAATTGGCTGAAGGTTGTAAAAAAATTGGGTGTAAATGGGTCTTTATGACTAAGCGCAACTCGAATGACAACATTGAACGATATAAAGCCAGACTTATTGCCAAATGTTTCACTCAGAAATATGACATCGACTATAAATAAACTTTTTCTCTGATTTCTAAGAAAGATTTATTTAGAATTATCATGATACTAGTAGCTCATTATGATTTGGAGTTACACTAAATGGATGTGAAAACTACATTTCTGAATGAGAATTTAGATGAAGAGGTCTTCATGAGTCAACCTGAAGGATTTTTGGTTGAAGGAAAGGAACACATTGTGTGTAAACTTAAGAAATCAATAAATGAACTTAAGCAAGCTTCCCGACAATGGTATCTTAAGTTCAATGATACCATCACGTTCTTTGGATTTAAAGAAAATACTGTTGATCAGTGTATATATTTAAAGGCCAGTGGGTGCAAAATCATATTTCTCATTCTGTATGTTGATGACATCTTGCTGACTACTAATGATCATGGCTTATTATATAAAACCAAGAACTTTTTCTTTAAAAACTTTGAAATGAAAGATATGAATGAGCCATCCTATGTGATTGGAATTGAAATATTTTGTGATAGATCACAAGGTTTGTTAGGGTTGTCTCAGAAAACATATATCGAAAGAGTTCTTAAGAGATTCAATATAGAAGGGTGCTCAACAAGTGTTGCTCCAATTCAAAAAGGAGATAAATTCAGTCATATGCAGTGTCCAAAGAATGATTTGGAATGTAAACAAATGGAAGAAATTCCTTATGCATCTATTGTTGGAAGCTTAATGTATGCTCATACTTGTATCAGACCAGACATTAGCTTTGTTGTCGGGATGCTGAGCAGGTATCTAAGTAATCCAAGAATAGATCATTGGAAAGCTGCAAAGAAAGTTTTGAGGTATCTACAAGGAACAAATGACCACATGCTCATTTATAGAAGATCTAAAGATCTTGAAGTGATAGAATATTCAGATTCAAATTTTGTTGGATGTGTTGATAACAGAAAATCAACATTTGATTTTCTGTTCCTTTTGTCTGAAGGAGCAATCTCATGGAAAAGTGCGAAGAAGACTATCACAGCTGCTTCCACTATGGAAGCTGAATTTGTGACTTGTTTTGAAGCTACAATTCACGGTTTATGGCTGCAGAATTTTATTTTAGGACTTAGAATTGTCGACAGCATTGCCAAGCCGCTGAAAATTTATTGTGATAACTCTGCAGTAGTTTTCTTTTCCAAAAACGACAAGTATTCCAAAGGTGCTAAACACATAGAATTAAAATACTTTGCCGTTAAGGAAGAAGTTCAGAAACATAAGGTGTCAATTGAGCATATTAACATTGATCTCATGATTGCAGATCATTTGACGAAAGAGTTGCCACCGAAGACATTTAAAGAACATGTCGTGAGAATGAGCATTACCAAAACCCTTTATTAGTTTTATGCTCTTTATACTTTGATACTTTGAGCTCAATTTTTCTTGTTTCTGATATTTATAAATCTAATTTTTATCGTTAGTGTACACTTTATGTTACATAATGTTCAACAAGATTTGGTCTTTTAATAGACATTATGAGACCATGATGTTAATTCTCATTATGCTAAGTATGTAATTGATATTGTGATACATGGAAGGAACTATATCGATAAATTGATGCACAACCGCTATGATTCATATTAATTTTATGCTTATTAAATAATTTATGATTTAACCAATATAAAGAAGGATTTATCTTACATTTTGTGTAGTATGTTATGCACTGTTAAAATTAAGTAAGCCAAATGAGAGAATGTTATATCTTTATTTATGGCTCACATTTATTTTAATAACTTATGAGATTTATTTTGATAATTTAAGTTATTAATTTTTATTTATTTTCTTAACTCATAACTTATGTCATAACTTATGACAACTCATGACATTTATTTTGATAACTTAAGTTATTTATTTTCTTAACTCATAACTTATGTCATAATTTATTATTTTTGTAACTCATGATAACTTAAGTTATTAATTATCTTAACTCATAAATTATGTCATAACTTATGATAACTTATTATATTAATTTTATAACTCATGTCCTTGAATGAATGATGGTTACTAACTTATGTCATTGATTTTAATAATAAAAAATCAATTAATTTATTAAAATATCATAAATCCTATTGGTTTGTAACCCCCTTGATGGATGATAGTTAAATAGAGCATGAATTGGAGAATGAGTCATCTCTTTTCCCAACACACCCCGTACATTTTCCTCCATCATAAAACACAGAAAGTTTCAAGGGATTAGAGAGAGATACTCCATCTCTTCAAGATCAAATTTTTTCAAGTTAAAAATTTATTCATCATGAATACATGTATGCATTATTTTATTATAGATATAAAAATCGTGAATTTAAAAGATCTTGGTTATTATGTATTTTTTTTGGAATTTGTGTCATAAAATTTAAACATGAATTTCTAACATTGCTACCTACGACCATCGGCCCCCGCTCACTTATTTCGATGAAGCAAGGTGTGAAGCAACAGTGGATGTTGTGGAAATACGGAGCAACCTACAAAGCAACACATCATTCTGAATATTCTATGGACCACAAAGGTGGGAGTTCTTCCGAGCACCGATATTATAACTCGAAAATTTGTATGACCCTTTTCTTAACTTTGGGATAAAAAACTGTACCTGTAATCATCAACTTATAGTTGTTTATTTCTACTGGTAAAACCCATTGTTTTTTTCTTTTTCAGGATTTTAAAGTTAAGGTTTTTGGTGTCTCTATTAGTTATCTTATTTTATCAGAGTATATGCTGAACTTTCGTGCAACATTAAAATGATAATCATTACTTTATCACCACGGAACTTTTAGGCATGCATCATATGTGTAAGTGTTAAAATTTAGTTGTTAAATATAAAATTGTATTATAATTGTGTTGTTTGTACCGTGGCATCAAAATATTAAGAAAATTGACATACATACCACCCAGTTCTTATGGAATCACATATTTAATTCTCATATCACCTTGATGCCATAAATTTACATATAAAAAGACATAATATAAATAAGAATTGTGTGGCATGTATGTAAATGCCCCAAAAATTAAACCCCTCGGGCATTGGTTCTCTGTGCAAAATGTTATCTTGAAACTTTTTTCGATTGGTTTACCGAGCAAATCCTATATTTGCTCACTGTTTACAGTTTGGGTCTTATCCCCGCATCCCTCTTCTGCTGTCATTCGGTCATGGAGACCCTGGGTTTTACGCCTGTTTCTTCCCGCCATCTCTCCTCCTCGCCGCCATCCTTCTACTCTCACGCTGCCTTCTTTTGGCCAAGAAGGGTGCGAAGGCCAATTGTTTCCGCAAATTTAACTTCTTTGGGGATTGGCAGAAGCTTCTCCCTTGCTTCTTCTCAGAATAATGCATTCGCAGTAAGATAGCTTCGCGCATCCCAGTAAATCGTTCTTTTTTTCTTCGTGTCTGATTGGGAGAAATTTAATTTTCTTTTCAGAGAGAACTATGGAGTTGTGTCACTTCGAAGAGTCGTAGTGCCGTCAGAAATAGAAGCTTCATTGTTAGGGCTGAGATGTTCGGTCAGTTGACAAGTGGCCTTGAAGCAGCATGGAGTAAACTTAAGGGAGAAGGCATTTCTCTTCTCTCTACTTTGTTAAATTACTACATTTATAGGCATTTCTTTACTAAATTACTTCTGTATTTCATCTATGATTGGCCTTACTGTTGTTTACACTGAAAAATGAAAGAAGATGACGCTTTAGCTGTATTACAATTGCAAAAAGAAGAAATTGTGTAAGTGAAAGTGATGTTAGTTTTAAATGGCATGAACCTTTTTGTTTTTGGCTAAGCAATTTGATTTGTAATCTGTTTTTTGAACAATAATTGTTCTTTTTACTTTTTCTTGTTGGATTATCTGAACATTTATGTGCTGATTAACTATACAGAAGTACTGACAAAGGAGAACATAGCTGAACCAATGCGCGACATTAGAAGGGCTCTTTTAGAGGCTGATGTATGTTAGCTTCACCTTTTTAGAGTTTTCCTTTGTCTTCTTTTAGTGTAACTCTTGATTTAGCTCTCAAGAGTGAAGCCTTCTGTTTTGTGCAGGTAAGCTTGCCAGTTGTGCGGAGGTTTGTACAGTTGGTTAGTGATCAAGCTGTAGGTGTTGGTTTAATTCGAGGGGTGAGGCCAGATCAGCAGTTGGTAAAGGTTGGATAAAATTATTTGGGATTCCCTTGACAAATATATATGTGATGACTTGTGAAATCAAATTTGTATCGACAAATTACTTGCTATGATTTATTGTCTCATCCATTATTAGCTTGATGATTTTAACTTTCTTCCTATCATGTGTCATCATTAATCACTGCCCAATTTATATAAATTTGCATATTTTATATAAGAGAATAAGAACATAAATGATGATATAACTTCTCTAGTTAAGTTTGATCTGTTAAAATGAAAAAGTGCTTCAGTTATCTATATATATATATATACACACACTCACACACACACACACACACACACACTTAGGATGGATATGTTGATAGTGTTGGAGGGGAAAGCTCACTAGATTACCCATCTATTATACATGAAAAAATGAATGCAATGTTATACATTATAATTAAATAATCTTACACTACTTAGTACTTGCCAAATATAAATCTCTCTCATAACTTGTCCTTTTATTGATGCAAATAGTCCTTAAACTAGACCTGTATATCAAGTAGATCCAGCGTATCACTTATGTTTGAAAAATGGAGAAATCTTAGAGTCTTAGTAAATATACCAACCAATTTTTCTCCATTGGTAATCTGAAGATCGATGATCTTTTCTTTGATAAAACATTCAACTGTGACATGTTTAGATCTTTTACGAATAAGTGGGTTGCTAGCATTGTAGATAGTGGTTTTATTATCACAGTTTTGAATTATGGGCTTGATATAAAGTAAAATCAAACTCTTTGAGGTGAATTTTTATCCAAATCATTTGACATATAGTGTGATCGACGACCTTATATTATTATTTTTTTAAAATTGGTTCTGGTCATAACTCTTTATTTTTTCTCTTCCATGTTACAAAATTCTCACCAATAAAGATTAAGTATAAAAAATGGATTTACTATTCTCAATGGATCTGACATGATCAACATCTGTTAAACTTTAAATCCTTAGCTGATATTTTTTTTCTCAATGGATTAGTTCTTTTCCAATAGATTTCCTTACATATTTCACATTCATTGGCAATGTACTAATGTTCCTTCTTCAAATTTTACATATGATATATTAGGTTTAGTGATACATAATTAAGCTTTCCAACTAGATGCTTATAGTATGAGACATTTTTAAAGATTTTTCCATTATCAACTATTTGTAGAATATCTCTCTTTAGTCAATTTGCTTCAATAAGATCAATTTACTTTAGAAGGTCTATAACATATTTTCATTACGAGAAGCATATGTTTTATTATATGTAATATTAACACTAAGTATTCTAAGGGGCCTGAATCTTTGGTTATAGACATATCCTACAGAACCTATTCTTTTTCAACAATGCCTGAAATTTTTTTTTAGTGAGAATCATATCATCAATGAACCTAACAAAAATTAATGCCAGAGAAGAAGAGTTGAATAAAAATAGAATAATCTGCAGTACTACTTCATACTTCATCATTAGCTTGAACCGTGGAATTTTTGTTTAACCATCCATGAGGACTTTGTTTCAACCCATATTTAAGTTTTTGAATCGTGCATATTTTGGTCTTCATCTAGCAATATGCCTAGGAGCTTGCTCCATGTAAATATCTTTGGTGAGGTCCCTATATAGAAAAGCATGTTATTATCCATTTAATGCCTAACCCATTCTTGATTAATGACTCTAGTTAGAGAATAAGATAATTATAATTTAACCATGCATAAGGTAAGAAAGTGTGAAAATATTCTATTTCATGGACCTCTGTGTGTCCTTTTGTCACTAATTGTGCCTTGTAGACAGTAGAGCTATTGGGTCGAACTTAATAGTGAAGATCTAATGGCATGAAATTTATTTATTCCCAAGAAGTGTTAGCAAATGCTAGATTTAGCTTTCAATGAATGCCCCAATGTCAATTTGCTTTGTATGTTTCCATCTAAAGATCAAATGTGGGTTCTAGATATGAGTTGAGAATAAAGATATATGACAAAGATAGTGCAAATCAATATGATGAAATGATGAATGTTCAATGGATATAAATGTGGGTAGTGAGAAGCTAATACATTAGCGCTTACCTTTATGTACAAAAATATGAAAATGTAGATATCGGGACTTAGTTTTAAGTGGATGCTTAGTTGTAGTAGACAAAAGATGGGGCAAAAGCTTCAGTGAGACGCAAGTGAAGCCTGTAATTATTAAATTTTATGGGAGAAGGAGAAAACATCATGGCAATAAATGTTATGGGGAATAGTTAAGGGAGCATTGTAGACGAAGTGAAAGAGAAAGGGATGCTTCATGAAAGTAGAATTGACAAAGACATGGAGTTGTCATATAGATGTATTGTAACACTAATAATCTCTCCGAGTACGAGAATGTCGAAGAAAAATAATTCTAAAGGCACGAGATGAGAGTATTTTACCTCAGGCAATGAGAGTTGACAAAATAAACACTGTTGAAGATTCTAGTAGTAAGACGAAAATGATATTTTTGTTGGTAATGAATTTAGAAAGGATTACCACCACTTGGGACACTTGGATACATGATCAGTTAAGTATCAAAGAATGAGAGCGATATCTCTCCAAAAATGTCATATAGGATATATGTGAGATATTCAGGTGTTTGTTACATAAATAGATGTTAGTATTTACGTCCAATCATTTTATTTTTTTGGCTTATATTGGACATATTAATTGATGAATAATTATCATTCTAAGGGTTGTAGGAGTGAAAATGAGATTGATTAATATTTAAGAGCACTCTCAGTGTGAAGGATTTTAATTTGAACAAAAATTGAACTTTAACTTCCCAATAGAATGGTTGAATATGGAGAAAAAATTTAATTGCTATTTTAACAAGAAATCAAAGTAACCATAATATAGTAATCAATGAAAGAAATAAATAATAAAAACTCTAGCAGACAAAAGACTTTGTCCCCAAATGACTTACTGTAATAAACTGAAAGGTGTATTACTATACAAAGTGGAATAGCAGGCAATGGAATTCAATGATACTTAGTAAAAAGGATAATACATAAGTGAAAATCCAAAGTTGGTGAGGTGAAGGGTGACTTCGGTGAGAGTGCTAAATAGAGGAGGATAAGGTAATGGAAGAAGCATAATTTACGTAATAAATATTTCTAGCTTCTACTTTTCCATTATTCGATTTTCTTTTGATAATTTAGAGACAAAATGCTTATAAGAAATTATGGGACATCAAAATATTGTTTGATTTCAATGGGTGGCGAGGGGAGGCAGGGGGGATGTCATAGTAAGTGGTGAAAATAATTGTTGGACCATCCTCATATGAATATAAGCACTAAATTCTAACTCCTAAGATGATCCAGAATGCTTAGTTGCAATAAATCCATTGGACGATACAACTTCCGAGGTTGAAATGGTCAGGTGATACTGTGGTAGAAAAATTGCCTATTCTTCTTGAGAAATGATAATTAAATTTGAAGGAGTACCAATGAAATTAATTGAAACACTATTAATATTTGATAAATTTCATGCTGCTAGATGATAGCCAAAGTTTTCCCAACAATGTTTAGACGAGTGATTTGCTATTTTATAGTGCTAACTAGGCGGAGAAGTGTTGTTACTGTGATTGTGGTCCCCATCACGAACAATGCATTCATAATGACTATGATCACATCTTAGTTCAAGGTTAATATGAGTATGATCATGATCAAAAGAAGGTAAAGCAGGTAACTTAGTGATGGGAGAGTTTGAGAGAGAGGGCAATGAAGACTTCCAAGACAATAAAGTCCATCATCAAGTGGCCTTGAATAGATTGTAGGAATGGATGAAGCTTGGAGAGGCATTTAGCAATGAGAAACTTCTCATTTTGTTTTCTGGTAAAGATGCAATATTGAAGAAGTTCATCTCATTTTTCTTTCAAGGTATTTTAGTATTACTAAATAGATTTTTCACCTTGTTGAAAGGAGAATAAGTCATAATAGAGAGTATGTATACAAAAGAAGTTGCTCTGAAGAGAGGTGGGATGGATAAAGTCTAATATCGCGATGACTATCTTTTAAAGCATGATAGTTGATAAAATAATATGTTTAATGGTATCGAGCATCCATATGAGAACAAGATAGTCAGAACATTGCTATTTGATGTGTTAGGTAGTGCCCTTGATTTAGGAGTTCGAGGATAAAGATGATTGCCTTTCTCTTCATGTACTACACGAAAATGAAAGCTAGAGATCATAGGAGATGTTTGGTATTATTGAGTTTGAAAGATAATGACTTTATATCAATTAACGGAGTTCTGGAGTCCATGGATTTGTACATTCAGTAGTGATGGACAGAAAAAATGTCGGGTTTTAAGTAATCATGGAACTAGGATGACTTCAATAATGAAGAAAGAAGAGCTTGGGGAGGGGGTCATGAGCTGGCATCAGAGAGTGACATGTGGGATGAGCAGAAAACGAGCTTGGTCAATGTGTGAGTAGTGATTTGTGCATGGGACACATGAAGTAAAAATCCAACATTAGTGGCGTGAGACTAGAGCATGCAATTGGGCAATAGGTTGGGGCACTTGTAGCCAAGGCTCACAGGAGGAGAGTGGGTGTAGACAACAGTGGTGTGTGGCACGGTTGTAATTTAGGAGATCGGGGGAACCCTGATTCAATATCATGTTAGAGGGGAACACTCTTTCTTGCTATTCCTTTATTTAAATAAATGAGCATAATATTCATCTAAAGATAAAATTATTGTCTGACACCCATGATCAAGATCACCATCTTCCCAGTTCACTGCAGAATTCCGTTGGGTCCAACATGGAGATTGGACAGAAAATAAGTTTATTTATTTATTTATTTACTTTTAATCTAAACTTTTAGATTAGATTTGTAGAATTTACTAAAGTGATTGTCCTTTGGCATTACAGATTGTGCATGACGAGCTTGTTAAACTTATGGGTGGAGAAGTTTCTGATCTGGTATTTTCCAAATCTGGTACAACTGTGATTTTACTTGCAGGATTACAAGGCGTAGGAAAGACTTCTGTTTGTGCGAAGCTCGCCTTCTACCTTAAGAAGCTGGTGCGGTTCAGTGCTTCCATTCTCTGTTTTCTTCCTTTTTGATGATTATTCTTTTACACTTATGCTAAGTGATATGAGGCAGATTTCAGGGTAAAAGTTGTATGATGGTTGCTGCAGATGTTTATAGGCCTGCAGCCATTGATCAACTTGTTATCCTGGGTGACCAGGTATGGTTTCTACACGTTGACTGCTTAAAATATTTAAATCAAGGCTTAACTGCTTTTTATGCTAAATTAGCATGTAAGGTTGAAGTTGATATAATTTTTTGATTTTTTAAGTGTGTATATTTTAATTTCATCCTTGATTGACAGGTTGGCGTACCTGTTTACAAAGAAGGGACTGAAGCGAGACCATCACAAATAGCTAAAAATGGATTGGAAGAAGCAAGAAAAAGGAGGATTGATGTGGTCATAGTAGACACTGCTGGAAGATTGCAGGTTGTATTCGAGTTACTAAGTGTAGCTTGGGCTTTTCTTTTCTATTTTAGTATCTTTTCAAATTAAATAGGAACTTTTGTGGGGGGTTGTTTGTCAAAAGTTGTTTGATAATTTTGAGGTATTTCGGTTGGCTTAATAACATTAAACCATCAAGCGGGTAGAAATAAACAATAGGTAAATGTACATGCGTTCAACACAATTCTTATAAATTTACATGTCTAACACTTAAATTTTGATATTTACATTTATAACATTTTGCTACTATAAAAATTTGCATAAGAAGATGCATTTGACTTTTTAAAAAGTTTGTAAAGTTGTTTTGATGTGATATTAAAAATTTGATTGTTTAGAATATAAATATTAAAGTTTATGTGCTAGATATATGAATGCATAAGAATGGCGTGGGCTTTATTTAAATGCCCCTAAGCAATGATCCCCAATCCAATCTCCTTTAGTAACTTATGCTATTGATTTGGAAGGAATTGGAATATGGTGTTCGAGTCCAACTATTGGATATAATTATACTGTTTAAAACCAGAAACTGAGGCAGATAACCTTAATGTAGGCGTCATATGAAGAGCACATAAGAAATAAATTATTGCTATGTGGTTGTTGAGGTTTTTCTTAATTTTTTGTTTGTCGATTAACCAAACAGATTAGGCATGTTTGTCAATTTCAGAGAAGAGTTTGATGGACCATGGTATTTATGCCATCCGGAGGAAGATGAAGAAAGTCTTGTTTATCGCAACAAAATTCGGTGTCACCTGCTTATGGATAACACCGTAACCGTTGAAGATAGATCTCATCTCACTACAAAATAACAGCCTGCTGATTTTTCGCCTTTCGAAGCCGATCGAAGCCCAAAGACAAATTTATTCTACAAAGTTGCTATTTTCCCCTCTGAAACAACCTACACGATGCTGAAGAGTTATGATCAGTACTTGGGAGCCATGAGTGACGATGAGAAGAAGAGGTGGTCACGCAGAGGAGGAGGACGATGTAAGGAGCGTATTGACTGATGCACCAACTTATAGCGCATGACGGAAGTCGAAGCGATGCAAGGGCAGTAAGGTCTTTTTGTCACATCAAAGCACGAGAAAAGAGTCAAATCCAACACACATGTTGATGAACCAAAAATTAAACATGCATATCTGAATATATTAACAAAAACAAATATTTACTCCTTTTTCGTCCTATTACAACCATTTGACATGGAAGAAAGTTCATCCGTTAAAGACTACTTAGTTGGAAAGGAAAATTTTACAAAGCCGTCGTTCGCAGCTTCAGCAGGGACATACCCCAACTTAGACAACTGTTTGTACATCAACTCTCCTCATATCCTAACCTTATCTACTCTACTCATCTCAGAATATAGTCGGGAGACTGAAACTTCCTCCTAGACGATGGTTGACTGCCTTACTAAAGGACTTAGTTCATTAGATTTGTCTAGATTATGTGAGAAGATGGGCTTAGTGGATGTCTTTTGCCTATCTTGAGGGGGAGTGTTGAGATTTGTATCTTATTTTGAGTGGTCTAATTGTAAATAGGGAATATAGAAGAAGTCTAGGGGTTATTTATAAAAGGGATTATAAGGCTTCATAGAAGCCCAACTCATGAATGAAGGAGATAAGTTTTTACTAAAATTTTCATTTCTATAAAAACAAAGGCTTGGAAGCATACCATGGAGCCTCAACACCCTTCCCTACTAGGCCATGCCCCAGCTTGTACCTATTTTATTCGGGCTACACCATCAAAGGGCAACATCTCTCCTTCTCTTCTGAGTGCTTTTAAAACCCACATTCTCCGACACTTCACTTGCCTGTTTCATCCTGCTGGGATCACCTTCTATGATGCCAGTGAAGGAAAAGTCCCTTAAGCTCTTGAAGAGATTAATGTGGCAGGAATCAGCTATAACGGTGGAAGATTTTGAAGGAAAATATAGATTTGAATGGAGAATTAGGTAAGCCGCGGCTTGGCGAAGTCCTTTGATTGAATTCTACTTTGCTATAGACAATTGTGCTTTCTTCTTTTTCTGCTGTGAACTTATATTCGTATTAATCTTACTATTCATTCTAATAGATTTTAACAATGCTCATATTTTGCCGCTAAATACTATCATATCATGTTCCCTTATATCGAATGAGCTGAAATTGAAATTGTTTCTTCCATCAGATAGATAAAGCAATGATGGATGAGTTGAAGCAAATGAAGCAGGCAACGGATCCTGCTGAGTGGATGCAATGACGGGCCAAGAAGCTGCAGGTATTGCTATTGCTACCCAACTCACTAGGCGCTAACAGTCCGTCATTTTTTTATGCTATATTTTTGCATTTTAAACCTGTGAAATTCTGACAATTATAGTAACAGGGTGTTTTCCCTTCAAGCTGTAATTTGAGTTTTGTTCTGCAAATGATGTTTGCTGCTTCACACGTTTGATTATACTTGAAATTAGGGTTGTGAACGAGCTGAGCTTGAACGAGCTGAGCCTCGGATCATGTTCGGCTCCTTCCAATTTGGCTTTTGTTCGAAATGACTTGTGAATAATGTGTTCGTCTTCGGTTTGAATAACATTTGACTGTTCGTGTTCGGCTTGAAATAGGCTTGGTGTCATCGTGGAATAACACCAATAAACATCGAGTATATTAATATTTTTATTTATTTATTAATTTATTTTTTTTATTTTAGAGCCAATTCGAGCCGAACGCGAGCGAACAAATATTTTTTCTTGTTCGGCTCGTTTATATTTCGAGCTTAAAAATTTGTTCATATTCGGCTCGTTAAGCTTAACGAAGGAGCCGAACACGAGTTGTTCTCGAACAACGAGCCGTATTGACAGCTCTACTTGAAATTCTATGGCATTGATTGAATTATATGCTAGTGTTCGCATATTCTCAAATTTTTTATATCCATGCATAATTATTCTCTTACTGCATCCACTGGTAACTCTTCTACTTTCAGCTTTGGTGACAACATTCAACATTGAAATTGGAATAACTGGTGCAATATTGACAAAGCTAGATGGTGATTCAAGAGGTGGTGCAGCTTTAAGTGTTAGAGAGGTATTTATTTTCTTCCTTAGCTCAACATTTGCTCGTGCGCACCAACTCAGACATAAGCATGTTTCTTTGTTCAAACTATGGAGACCTTTGCCACTATCAGATGCTGCACTAAGTAAAGCAATAATCTTAGAATCCTATTTCATATTTGGCCTTTTAAACATGTTAAAAGTATAAAAACTGTTAGGTATGACTCATATACCTTATAACGGACAGATGCTGGAGCGGAGCGTAAGATTCTATCCAAATTAGGGGAATTTTCTTATGTGGGTTGGGGGTGCGGTACATAGGTACTTTGGTAATTATATATTATATTCAAGGTTTCTTTTTCTGCTCTTTCGAAGATTATAAATATGCATGATTGTAACCCTAGGTCTTATCCCATATTCTGTATTCTATACTCTTTTCTGGATTAGTAAAAAGCCGCCGCTCTGCTCCCGAGGACGTATACATCTTTGCCGAACCTCGTTAAATCTCTGTGTTCTTCTTGATTTGTGTCTATTCCTATTTTTCTTCGCCCTAATTTATTTATAAGTGATATCAGAGCCTGGTTCGAGGGCAGGGAAGAAAAAGATTTAGGTGGCAGTTTGGATTCTGTGCAGAGGAGTTCGGCGGAACAAAGAAGAGTTTGGATAAGGAGTTCGGTGCGGTTGCTTCGATGAATTTGGCGAAGGCAAGGGTTCGCGGTTTTTAGCAGGAAGGGCTTTCAGCAGCGCGTTGCGTCCAAGAGTCCGACGAGCTTTCCTGTGACAGGCGAGCTCAATTGCGCGACTTGGTGACCAGCACGGCCTAAAGCGGCGGAGAAGAAACAAAATTGGAAGGGAATCAGAAGGAGAATCTTGGATTTCTATTGGAGGAATATTCTCTTAGATTTCCTTCCGTTGGGGAAATAATTTTTTCTGCTGGTTCCGATAAGGAAGAAATTGGAAGGGTCCGATTGATTTCTGATTGCGGGAGGAGGAATTGCGGAAAGGTCAGATTGATTTCCTTGCTGGGAGGTGATTTCAGAAGCTTCTGAATTTCCTTTGCCGAAGGCTGCGAAGAAGAAAATTTGGAAGAAATTTTTTGATTTGAGTTGATTATGTTTCCTGGAGGCGAGAGATTGGTTTTTCGATTTGTTTCCTTGTTGGTTCCTGGAGGCAGGATATTGTTTTCCTGAAGTGGAAGATTGGTTTCCTTTACTGGAGGCGGCAAAATATTCCTTCGATTGTATTTCTTGGCTGAGATATTTCGTGGTGCACACGATGCTATTTCGGTGACGCGATAGCAGAAAACATGCGAAAGATCTTGAAGAAATTTTTGGGTGCAAAGTTCTGGTGCAAAGTTCGAGGTGACGACGCTTGATGGAACCATAAATTTTGGGTTGTGGCAAACAAGGGTAAAAGATCTATTAGCGCAACAGGAAATTCTGAATGCTTTGCGGGCAAGGAAACCAGATGCCATGGAGGATGAAGATTTAGAAGAATTGTAACAACGAGCTGCAACTACTATACGCCTATGTCTGACAGATGAGGTTATGTATCACGTGATGAATATGAAATCTCCAGGGGGAGGTATGAAAGAAATTGAAAACAAATTGAAAACTCAGTTTATGACTAAATCTCTAACGAATAAATTGTATCGGAAGCAAAAGCTGTATGGGCTGAAAATTCAAGAAGGTTCTGATCTAGCACAACATGTTAATGATTTTAATCAAATAATCACAGATTTATCACAGCTTGATGTGACTATTGAGGATGAAAGCCGAGCAATGATTTTGTTGTGTTCACTGCATTCTTCCTATGAACGCCTGATGACTACTCTTACATATGACGAAAAAACCATCAAAGTTGATGAAATCACTGCAGCATTGTTGATTCACAACCAACGGAAGCATAATGCAGAGAAAAGCTCTCATGACGACAATTTATATGTTAAGGGTAAGCAGGATCGTGGAAGGAAGAAAGATGAGTGTTCTAGAAGGTGAAATTCCAGATCCAAGTCAAAAGGTAAAAAGACAATTTATTGCTACAATTGCAATGAGTCAGGTCATATGAAGAGAGATTGTCCAAAGCTCAAGAAGCAGATTGAGGAGAAATGTGATGAATCATCTAAGTCTGTAAATGTAGTGCAGAGTGACAATTCAGATTGCAGTGATGAAGAATGCTATCATTTTCATCAACTCAGGTCACGGATACATGAATTCTTGATTCAGGATGCTCTTATCACATAATACTTAACAGAGAGTGGTTCACTTCGTACAAGTCAATTAATTCTGGCTCAGTTTATCTAGGTGATGATGTATGCTGCAATATTGTTGGTATTGAAGATGTCAGAATTAAGATGTATGATGACACAGTTAGAACATTATGTGATACCAGACATATTTTAGAAATGAAGAAGAATTTGATTTCCTCGGGCATTTTATATAGAAATAGTTTTATTTCTAAGACAGATGAGGATAGGAAAACCATCAGAATTGTTAAGGGTGCACTGACCGTGATGAAAAGAAAGTTAACTGCAGGTAAAATCTACAAACTGTTAGGGAGTACAGTTGTAGATGAAGTTCATTCTGTGGAGTCAGATGATGATAGCACAAAGCTATGACATATGCGTCTGGGTCATCTTAGTGAACGTGGGATGACAAAATTGCATGAAAGAAATCTGTGGCATGGAGTTAAAAGCTGCAAGCTCGATCTTTGTAAGTTCTGTGTTCTTGAAAAACAGACTAGAATTAGTTTTATGACTGGAAAACATAAAACTGAAGGGATTTTTGATTATGTGTATTATGATGTATGAGACCCTACCAGGGAATTATCATTGAAAGGATCTCAGTATTTTGTCACCTTTATTAATGTTTTCTTCAGGAAAATTTGGGTTTATTTTTTGAAACAAAAATTTGAAGTATTCTCTAAATTCAAGCCGTGGAAAGCTGAGGTGGAGAACCAAACTGACAGAAAGATCAAGTATTTGAAATCCGATAATAACATGTAGTACACAGATTCACAGTTTCAGAAGTTCTGTGAGGAGCATGAGATTCTGAGACATTTTTGAGTGCGCAAGACACCACAACAAAATTGTGTGGCAGAAAGGATAAACAAGTTCTTAACTGAAAGGATAAGATGCTTGAGACTGAATGCAGAGCTTTCTAAGAGTTTCTGGGCAGAATATGTGAATATGACATGTTATCTCATCAATAGATCACCTCGGGCATCGTAGGGTGGCAAGGTCGCAGAAGAGGTATGAACAGGTAATCCAGTTAATTTCGATTATTTACGGATTTTTGGTTGTCTTGCTTATGTACATGTACCTGGAGATGAAAGATCAAAACTTGATGCAAAATCCAAGTACATCTTTCTGGGCTACAAGAAAGGTGTGAAATGATACAAGTTTTAGGATCCAATTATAAAGATGGTGATCAACAGAGATGCAGTTTTTTATGAACAGTCAATGTTGCAGCAAAATCAAGACAAGGTGTTGGGAAAAGTTCCAGTTCAGATGCGGTGCAGATGGATTTAGAACAACATTCGGTGGCAACTGAGAGAGTTGAAGGTTCAAATCGAATACCTGATGATTCCATTGCAGACGATCCGCAAAATTATAATATAGCCAGAGACAGATAGAGACACAAAAATATAAGATCTCATAGCAGATTGAGTTATAAAGACTTGTTCTCTTGTGCACTTCTTATCAGCAGCGATGATCCAACCACTTTTGAAGGAGCTATCACTAGTCAGAAGAAAGAGAAATGACTGGGTGCAATGATTGAGGAGATGAAGTCTTTACAGAAAAATCGCACATGGAAGTTAGTTCAGCTTTCTGAGGGAAAGAAGACTATTGAGTGCAAGTGGGTGTATAAAAGGAAACCAACAGTATCAGAAAAAGAATGGGAAAAATTCAAGGCTTGACTGGTAGCAAATGGATTTTCATAGTAGAAGGGGATAGATTATGATGAAATCTTTTCTCCTATGGTCAGACATACTTCAGTCAGGGCAATGCTTGCATTAGTAGCCATTTGGGATTTGTATTTGGAGCAGATGTATGTTAAAACAGCTTTTTTGCATGGTGATCTGGGTGAACAGATTTACATAGAGCAGCCAGAAGGGTTCACTCAACATGAAAAGGAGCATCTGGTTTGCAGGTTAAAGAAATCGCTGTATGGGTTGAAACAGTCTCCAAGACAATGGTACAATCGATTTGACTCTTACATGATACAAATTGGCTACAAGCGATGTGAATATGATTGTTGTGTTTATGTGAAGAGGCTTGATGATCGTTCTATTATTTTTTTGTTAATGTATGTTGACGATATACTGATTGCTGCAAAAAATATAAATGATATCCGTGGTTTGAAAGCTTTATTGAGTCAGGAATTTGACATAGACTTGGGTACTACGAATAAGGTTCTTGGAATGAAAATCATCGAGATAGAAGCTCAAGACGATTATGTCTATCTCAACGAGGCTATGTTGAGAAAGTGCTGGATAGGTTTGAGATGAGCAAAACAAAGCCTGTAAGCACTCTTGTCAAATCATTTTAAGCTTTCTTCAGGACAGTGTCCTAAGACAGACACAGAAATCAAAGACATGACAAAGGTTTCATATGTCAGTGCAGTTGGCTGTTTGATGTATGCAATGGTATGTACTCGTCCTGATTTGTCTCATGCTGTTAATTAAGTCTGCAAATACATAGCTAAACTTGGAAGGCAATATTGAGAAACAGTCAGGTGGATTTTCAAGTATCTGAAAGGTACTGTAGGACATGAAATCATTTTTGGCAGTCAGCAAAATGATTCTTCAGTTGTAGGGTACGATTCAGATTATGCAGGTGATTTGGATGGCAGAAAGTCTACAACTGGGTATGTGTTTACTCTTGGTGGAGGGTCTATATGTTGGAAATCAACAATTCAGTCTATTGTGACATTATCTACAACTGAAGCAGAGTATATGACAGTAGCTGAAGCTGCAAAAGAAGCCTTATGACTTGCTGAGCTAGTAAATGAACTATGCGTTGAGCAATGTGGAGTTCAGTTGCATTGTGATAGCCATAGTGCTATTTATCTGGCTAAGAACTAGATGTACCATGCGAGAACCAAACACATTGATGTCAGATATCACAAGATCAGAGTATTGATTGCTTCTGGTGAGTACTGTTGCAGAAGGTTCATACTGATGAAAATGCGGCTGATATGTTGACCAAGCCAGTTACTATCAGCGTGTTCTTGCATTGCTTAGACTTGTTGAATGTTTGCAGTTGCTAGAGAAACATGGTGACCCAACCCACTTATGATATGTAAGAAACTTCATGTTGTATTTCTCCTAAGGGGATGGATATTCGTCAATGTGGAGATTTGTTAGATGTGACTTATATACTATAAAGGGACAGATTCTGGAGCAGAGCAAAATATTCTGTCCAAATCAGGGAAGTTTCTTAGAGTTTCCTTATGTGGGTTGGGAGTGTCGTACATGAGTAATTTGGTAATTACATATTATACTTAATGTTTCTTTTTCTGCTCTTTCTAGGGTTAGAAATATGCATGTATGTAACCCTAGGTCTTATCCTATATTCTGTATTCTGTACTCTTTTCTGGATTAGTGAAAAGCAGCCGCTTTGCTGTCGAGGACGTTGACATTTTTGTTGAACTTCTTTAAATCTCTGTGTTCTTCTGGATTTGTGTCTATTCCTATTTTTCTTCGCCCTAATTTCTCAACAAAAGCTTATGTTATAAATATGAGAGAATGTCATGCAGCCAACCACTTATGTTTTAATTTTCTTATAGCATAATACTTTGGGTTTTTATCCTGTTACCATACAAGCTTTAGCTGGCAAGTTGATAACTTTTTCATCCTGAAAAAAGTTGTAATTCATTTTTTTCAAAATATTTGTTTTATCTGATGTATTTATCAGGTTTCTGGAAAGCCAATTAAGCTTGTAGGTCGAGGGGAGCGGCTGGAGGATCTAGAGCCTTTCTACCCAGATAGAATGGCCGGACGTATCTTAGGAATGGGTGATGTGCTATCATTTGTGGAGAAGGCACAAGAAGTTGTGAGTGTATTTCTTTTCTCTGCATTTTTCTTTGCGGCATTTGCATACATTCCACCCAATTCCTATGTATTTACATATCGAACACCTCAACTATGCACTTTACATTTATACCAACCAAATCTTTCATATCACATAAAAAACATGTCCATTTAAACTTTAGAAAGTGAAATACACATTTTCATCCATAGGTATGGTCGCTTGTATGTAAAAATTACAGTTCAGGTATTAGATATGTAAATAGATCGGAATTGAGTACCACGTTTGTAAATATTTTTTTTTCTTTTGCATTTAACTGTGTTCCTAAATAATTATATTGCCAAAACAGATGCGGCAGGAAGATGCAGAGGAACTGCAGAAGAAGATCATGAGTGCAAAATTTGACTTCAATGACTTTCTAAAGCAGACACGTGCTGTCGCAAAGATGGGTTCTGTGAGCCGCGTGCTTGGAATGATACCAGGCATGGGCAAGGTACTATTTCTGAACTTTTTATTTACCCTTATAATTGTATAATTGTATTATAGCACGAGGAAGCTGAGATAGAAACTTTATAATTGTTAAAAATGATTTCTTTTTGTTTATAATAAATCTCTTTACCTGCTAGAAAACTAGAGCTACTTCTCCCTGCTTAGATTTTGATTCCATGCATTCACTGAACTGCCTTTTAGTCCATATATTAATTAATTTATTTGCATATCTGAATTTTGGTTCGCTTGTTTAATGCTTGAGGCGTAAAATTTTACATTGTGTGTTTGTAATTTGAATGTTGATATGCGGGATCATGCATGCATAAAACCCACCAAAGAGTTCAAGCTTAATGACAGGCTCCGTAGGTTCTAAGGTAGCGGCTGAGTACGGCCTACAAGCTTCTTGAAACTAAATTTTCACTAGATCCCTTCATATAATTTGATTTGGAATTGATTTTGTTCCATAATCTCCATTAGTAAAATATTTCAGGATGGATTTTTATTTAGTCCATTACAGAAAATTAATAATTTCAATAATATATGGAATTTTTAAATGTGAGATCACGCAACTTGTATTTAACTCTCTTTTTGGTTTGTAAGGTAACTCCAGCTCAAATTCGTGAAGCAGAGAAAAATGTACAAGTTATGGAATCTATGATAACTGCAATGACACCTGGTATTGTTTTCTCTTCTTGCATACTGAATTTTTTTTCCCCAGAATGAACCTTTTATCCATCTCCTATGTTCAGCAGCCTCTATATTATTATTTGACTTATCTTGCATAGATTCTATTACAGACATCGTCATATTTATTTTCTTGCTGCAGAGGAAAGGGAAAAGCCGGAGTTATTAGCTGAATCACCAGCTAGGAGGAAGAGAATTGCTGCTGAATCTGGGAAAACAGAGCAGCAGGTTTGTTTTATAAGCGCTGTGGCTAGCCCATTATTTTTGCTGTTTAGTTATATAATCAAACTTGCTCCTTTTCAATCTCAACTAAAAGTGAGCTGCTTGTCATGATTGATTCAGGTGAGCCAACTTGTCGCTCAGCTTTTCCAAATGAGAGTTCGAATGAAGAACTTGCTGGGGGTTATGGAAGCAGGATCAATTCCGGCATTGAAGGATCTGGAGGATTCACTCAAAGTTGAGCAGAAGGTAAGATTCAGAGAGTTCCATAGCATCTGTGACAGCCACCTACACTTATTATTGCTTTGAAAATTCTCAATGAGGGAACTGTGAAAATATTGAGAGATTTACATACATACCACCCAGTTTATGTGTTTACATATCTAAGACCAAAACTTTAATTATTACATTTATACTTTTATGCCACCTAAGTCTCCCATATTACATCAAAAATATCGTTATTTTAACTTAAAAAAAAGTGAAATGCACCTTTTCATGCACAGGAGAAGTGGCAAATACAAAAAAATTGAGTGATATATATGTAAATCTTCCTTTTTTTATTGTTATTAGGCGCCTGCTGGTACTGCTAGGAGGAAGAGGAGATCAGAATCTCGGAGGCAGTTTGCAGATTCAATTTCTACAAGACCGAGCCCTAGGGGTTTTGGGAGCAAGACATGAGGGTAAATTATATATTATATTTTTTTACCGGAACATTACAATAATATTTGTTTGTCTGGAAATTAATACTCATGAGTTTTTAATTAAGAAAATGGATTTTCTTGGAATGATGCCTCTTCGTCTCTGATATGTTGATGCAAAACTCTCGTATGAAAGCTGCTCATTCAACTCAGTTTTATCTTTTTTTTTTTTTGACTTTTTTCTTTTCTCTTGCTAATTGGGTTCGTAGGGTCGGGTCTGGGCCTGATTTGAAATTAACTTGACCTAAAATTGTTTGATCCAAACTCGACCTGAATATTAAACGGGCTAGAAAGAAAACTCGAACACGACCTGTCTTCAACCCGTCAACCCAAACTCGATCCATATAACTCGTATAACATAAGAAATAACAACTATTCGGGTCAAAATCGGTCAATTTAGAGTCAATCTTAGGTCAAATTTGGGTTGACAAGTCGATTCCAAGTCAGTTTACAATTGACTGGTCAACTTGAACCTAACTCAAAAAAATAAAGGGGTTTAGATTCTTAACCAAATGACCTAAAAATTATTTGGGTCAAATCTAATGTGAATTTTTTAAGTTGGGTTCGGATTGAGTTGAGATGTCACCCCTACTTCACATAACCCTTAGAGGCGGCATAATAGAGACCGTCATGTCAAAATTTAAAAGAAATTGATGCTACTAGGCAACCATTGACGAGTAACAAAAGTTACAATTTTTTTTTTATTTTAAATTTTTACAAAATAAAATATTTTTCAGTAAATGTAAACATCCAATTTATCATCACTAAAAAAACCTTCATAGATTGTTTTCATTGCGTTTCACCAAATAAAAATTGTTTCTGGATAAAAGTTGAGGAATGGTAGTCGCATTCGAGTCCAAAGCTACAGTATACTCTGTAACAGTAATAAGAATAATAATAAATAGATAAATAAATGAATAAAATAACATAACTCTACTGCAGAAATTAATACAGATAAAACAAAAAGTAATTTTTACAGCACTGAATCAGACAAGCTGACACAAACAGATATGACTGAGCCTGCAAACCAGCATTAATAATGATTCTGTGCTTTAGTTCTCCCAGTTTGACACAGACACAGCTACTTCCCATCGTTTATGACTGTCTTCAGCATCTGTTGTAAAAAAGAAAAAAACTCGTGTGATTAAGGATGATGGGATAAGACAAGCTCAATAGAAACATGACTATGCAAATAAAAAAAAAGTTGAGGGTAAGCACCTTGTCCTCATTTTACTAAGCATTTTTTGATGTGTTCTATGTTTATCATAGGCGCAATCTCATATTCACACTGTACATATAGTGGCAGCAAATTTAAATTTTAAAGAATTAAATTATCACTATTTTCAAAAGAGCATATAAGGTGAGGAATGATGATGATCCCAATTAGGATCTCATAGTTCCGTCTTCTTGGGTTGTCTTGATCTCTGGTTGATCAAGTCATAGAAGTAGCCGACCCAATCTAATAGAAGGATTATTGTCAACAATCATGAGTTGCTTAATCCAATAAAATTTTTTCGAATTGGGATATATGTTTGTCTACAGGAACAAATTTAAGTTGACTTTAGTTTACAGAGTGTCGTGTCCTATCAGATATATTTTATAATTCAAAACATAATGAAAAAATTATTGATGGCATACGACTTATAATTGTGATTGTGATATAATGTTGTCATTTGACATCAAATCGTCCGATCAAAAGGCTATGATCGTAATCACTTCTTTTATAGAGCATATTGGTCAAACTATATAGATAGAGAACTCTGACCACGCCCTTAATGACAAATTACTTTGACTGTGAATTCAATAATATATATGATTTGATATTGCTTTTTGTGAGCTTGAGTTAATCTTAAGTCTGTCACCCTCGACAAAAAGTTGCGAATGATAGTTAAGTTTTTTTATTTAAGCATTTGATAATATTATTTTTCATTTCAATATTTTTTAAATTTTTATAATTTAACCCATCTGATTGAGATTCACTTTCAACACGTCTATTATTGGCGAATTGATTAAAATTCTTATTTTATAACATAATTAAGTTCAGTTGCTTGAGCGTTTAAGAAGGGGCTAGTCATATCAACTCAAGTTAGTGGGGGGCTCAATCTTATCTACTCCGGTCCGTATGGGGAGGAGGATCAGTTGGCTAAAGTGGGATATGATCTCGCTCTATAGGCAAGGCAACCCACTCATACGACATGTCTAATTTAACTTTTCAAATCTCATTTTTGAAACTATAGATTCTATAACGTGCAAAGTATTAGCACACTTTTAAAATGCCTACATAGCATTTGGGGTTGATTAATTTTGAGATTAACAATATTTAACCAGCAAAGCATTCTCGTTGTTTGAGTTTGAGTATTTTGATTTGAGTTGATTTTTAAAAAGCTTTGCCCATATTTTGGAGAAGGTTATATTTAAGCAGAAGCATATTTGAACCCACACAACACTCATATGCTTAAGTTTAGTGAATTAAGACAAGGGACAACACTATTTTAACTTGTTAGTTTGAGTTAATTTCTTAAAAGCTTTACATGTATTTCAGAATGGAGTTGGTTAACATTAATCCTATTTTTATGACCCGCACAACATTCTCAGATGTATAAGCTCAAGTATTTAAGATAAACCATAGAACACATGCAGGTACTTTGGATTTGCTTGTTTGGATTGGCTTTATATAATTTAATTACTACTTGCACAAATATATTATTGTTGCATTGTTGCGTGCTAGTAAATTCATGGCAGTAGAGATATATTATTATCATAGTGTCGTACGAAGATCTAACACACACATGATAAATGAAATTGACAGAAAAGACATCATGGGTTAAGGGAAAAAATTCATAAGACTTGGTCGATTTTAAGTAAATTAACTATGTCAATATTGGCTGCAAAACTTTGCCCCCCCTTAACTGGCCAGGAGCAATGTTACACAGGCAACAGGACTTTTGCCAATGGAGTGGTGTAATACTTAAGGAAAGTGGCAGCATCCTGACGTTGTCAATCCGACGACAACGACGGTGGTGATTTAATGGTGGCAGTGGCTGGATACAACGGTGATCCAGCGGTAGTGGCGATGACGGTCGGGTTGCTCGACGGCGGTAGAGCTCAATGATGGCGGTTCGACAGTGGTGGAGCTCGATAGAAGCGATTCAATAGTGGTGGAGCTTGAAGGAGGCTGTTTGGCGGTGGCAGAGCTTGTCGAAGGTGGTATGGCAGTGGCAGAGATCGATGGAGGTTGCTCGACGGAGACGGTCTTGCGGTTGTGGAGCTCGATGGCGGCGGTTCGGCAGTGTTGTAGCTTGACAGTGGCAATCGACGATGTTGGAGCTCTGCTGCGGTGATTGACGACGCTGAAGCTCGACAACAGTGGTCTGACAAGGATGGAGCTCGGAAATCCTCAAGAGCTTGGATCTCCTTTCAACCTTCTCCTCCCAAGTTCAAATCTAGGTCCCTAGTCCCAAAGCCCTCTTCATGAAGGGAGTGGGGTTCTATTTATAGATTTTGTAAGTTACATCATTAGTAAATATTTTATGAATGCATATCACTCCATCAGGTGACTCAAAGTGATTCTTTTGATTGAACAATGATCTACGGTATTTGAGTGCCTTAATTATATCATAGTTGATTGCTCTTAAGCTCGTTGGATTTGACACGACGAGACACTCGATTTGAATATAAGTTTGTCAGATTTGGAATCCATTTGACAATTTAATTGCTTATCCAAAGCCTCCAATTGCGCTTAAACATCTTGATTAGACTCGGATCAAACCCACTTTGGCTTCATTGAGCTTGCTTTATCAAGACAACCATTTTAATTATTATAAGCTTTGTCGAAACCATGGCCTTGAATTATCTTGAATTTGAATCTGAGACGTTTATTATTTAAAATATTCTAAAATTCGTGCATAATTAGAATAATTTTTGAGTACGTATCAATTATCGTAAATATACGTGCCAATATTTTGAGACAAACCTTAAACTTTATACCTTTCGCTTCTGAAAATGTGCTGTAGACCCGACAGTGGTTAGGAGTGTGATAAATTTTATCACCTAGAATTGCATGGTGTTGTATTTTAAATGTGTCGTTTCTATTGTGCTCTATCTTTTCAATTTTAAGAGATCCCTCTTTAGGTAATCAAAATGCTCCAAAAATACATGCACAATTTGTTTTGCAATATTGAGTCACTAGAATAAGTTCTACAACGGTTGAGATGACTCAGGTCTGAATCGCGTGCATCATGCCGACAATCTATTATTTTCACCTTGTTCAATCATTTCGATGGTTCTCTCTTTCATAATTTCAGAGCCTCATGCATTGGTGCAGTTTAATAAACGATCATACATCACATGATTGAGGAGAGTCAGCTCTAATAAGCATGTTATCACACATGATATGGAGGTCAACATCTCTATGTAAGGAATAAGGGATTAAAGAGTTATAACTAAGTTACAAAGATTGGGCACAACCATTTGGGAATAATAACATCACCAGAACAAGTCTCTAATGGTTATTGGCTTCCTGCTCACTTCATGTGTATGACCTTTGCACTTGACTTTATTTGTCTTCATATTAAAAATGAAACTCTTTTTATAAAAATTTGGGGTGCCATTTTGATAAATTTAACCAAAATGTCATACTACTCCATCAAATAGTGAGTTAATTGTCTTGGTCATATATTAATTATTTAGCATTTAAATATCTTAACGATCTTAAAATTGAATGATCTTGGGCTCATTGAATTTTACTCCTCCAGATGCTCTATTTGATTATATGCATGTCAAGTTTGGAGATCAATTGACTAATAAATTAATGATCCAAAGTTTTTAATCATACTTCAACTGCTGGATATGAGCTCATTTGGGCTCAGATAGAATCATTTTTTGTATTATTGGTTTAATATCGTTCATATATTTAATTTGGCTATAAAATTGATGAAATTAGAGTTCAAATGATCATGAATATGAATCTGAAAGTTATATTAGCTAATATGCATCAAGATTTGTCTTCTCGTATAGATTTTTTGGTGACATCAATAGTCAAATAGAGTTACTCGATGAGAAAAAATCGAATTACCTAAACATTATTT